CTTTTCCTAGAATGGTTTGGTACACTGTTGAGGCTTTTCTTCATGTGTAACACTAGGACTCGTTTGTTTCTTTAAGTTCGTTTAAGCACATCCACTGCCCCATTTAAGAAAAGCTGCTCATGTGTATCTTGAGCTGCTTTAATGAGTTAATCATCTTTGATCCACTGCTTAAAGTTCTGCTGTTTTACTTAAAGCAGTTAAAGCTTTGTTGTTTCAAGATCATGCGATGTAGTGTTTTTGGGAAGTGAAGCTTACAGATTTAAACAAGTGTTCTTAGATGTAGCCTTCCTGGTTTTCTTGCACTTCTCCTTGAGAGGACCTGGGATTTTTGCTGCTACCTTTTAATTGCATCTCTCCTTAAGAAGATGGCCAGGATAGAAATACTGGCAGAGCCATAGAGAACATTGCCATGAGGAAGTAATTACTGCAACAGTAAAACAAGAGCAGCATTGGCTGCTGCAGTGTAAATGTTGGAATGATTTTAGCCTTACTATATAATTGCATTTTGAAACCTTACATACTAGGTTTAGATACTCAGGCTACCTCACATGTACTGTAATTGGTTTTTAAAATAAACAAGCCAGTGTAGCAATGGAGCTGCTATTCTAAGACACACACTTAAGGAAAGAAATCCTGCTTAAAGTAACATCTCATCGTAACATTAAATCTGTTGGTCTTTTTGGAATGAGGCACTTAGTAAAATTTTGTATAATTACAGTTATAGTGGTTTGTGTCTCCTGAGGATGCTTCACCATTGCGTATGCTCTTTCTGGACACAGAGTTTTTCAAAATCATCCTCATTTTCTACCTGCCAAGAGATTTGTCATTAGGAAAGTGTGATGACCAATTTATATTAGATGACAGGGATTCTGCCCCATATGTTCCGTCCACTGAAGGGTTGTGTTTGGGAGATCAGATGCATATAAATCTAAGCTATGTCAGAATTGGTGAATGAGAATGTTGCTATTACTTATTTTGTGGTATCTTTTATACTGTGCACTCTTTCAAGCAACTAAGTAACTTCTGACCTCAGTTTGGAATGTATGCATGGCTTTAGAAGTGAAGATTGGAAGAGACAGAGTATTTGAAAAGGGGACATTCCTACCCTGCACTGTTCTGTAGCCGCTCATGTCTGTATTTTGACAGGACAGTACAGCTAAGAACTGAGTCTGTTTTAAAACAATTTGGTTTAGGTTTTGTTGGGGGGGGGGTGGGAAGAGGGGGAAAGTGTTTTTTTACAGAAATTACTTTGATATAAAATTCATGGAATGTTTCTTGATCGCAAATTTTTGCTGTGCCAAATAGGAAACACTGTTAATCAGTGGCCATTTTATACTGTGGCTGATCTGTCCATACCTTTCCAGGCACTGAAAGCCATAATCGCATTTGACTCTGCAGGACTTGCTCTAGGCTGGAGACTTTTTGACCATGCTGCACATCTTGGGGGAGCCCTCTTTGGGATGTAAGTCTGTTTACTAACTTCTGTTTGTTTCGTATTTAAGTTCATCCTAATTTTTACTTCTTTACTTCCTCTTTTCTCTCTTTTTTTTTTGAAGATTGTCTTAAGCAGCATTGAAGACAACTCACTGTTATCCTTGAGTGTTATAAAATAGTGTAGAAAATGCTGTCAGTCAGTGCTTAGAACTGAAAGAACTGACCTGAACTGACTTCGAATGACAGATTAGATGTCATATTGTCCTGTCACTGTAACCTGGCCTGGTTGCCTGTGTCCTGCTCTCCCCAGCGCATTGAAGAGAGTCACAAGGCAGAAAAGATTCTCACAAAACACAGCATGGACAAATTACAATAACTTTCGAATTAAACAGCTGAAACAAATTTTGTCCAATTTTTTTTTTCTTTAATTGCCAATTTAGAGCTCCAGAGTTGGTATAAGCTCAGGCCAAATTCCATTGAGCAGCCTCTACTGCTGTTGCTCAGTGTTGCTGCATTGTCTTTGTGTGGAGTCTTCCAAATTGGGAAGAACTATTAGAAACCAGTTTGTAGGAAACAGTTCTGCATTGTTCCGTGTTTGAACTACATTAGCTAATGAGTTTTTCCCTTCTGCCTGATTGCAGTGTTGTGTTAATTTGCACACTTGTAGTTAAGAGCATTTCTAAACGTTTATATAGGCATTTTAAAAGCCTACCTGAGGTTTAACTAGGCCAGGCAAAGAACAGGTGGGGAACACTTCATTTTAGTCTGCAAACTGTTTTGCCTTTCTTTGCTATTGAGTTGTGCTGCAGTCACCTTTTCTCCCCTTCTCTGGCATCACAACTGCATCTGATGTTGCCTTGCTGATCGATAACTACTTTCTGCCATGTGATACATCTATATCAGCTTGCAGATTCACATATTAGGATAGCAGTTGCAGTAAAAGTTGTCTTGAGTCAACTAGGTGAGGAAGACAAGATATGTTCTACCTATATGTTCTACTCTGTGATTATTTTGGTTTCTTCATCCTAAATCAGGGCTTCTATTTAGCACGTATGTTGAATAGCCAAAGTATTTTCTGTACATTGCCTCGCAGACAACTGTCTGCTTTGGAAAGAAGATACATGATTTATAGGAATGGCCTGTTTACCCAGTACTGGCTGTTGGAAAATTGATATTCAAGACTCAGATGTGAAGTTAGGCTTGTGGGAGAACCTTCAACCTATTTCCATGCAGTTGCTTCCCCTCCCACCTCTCTTCTCCACCATAACCTCCCTTGCTGAATTACTTATGTTGCTTATTCATATATCAAGATATATAATTCTCTATGGATATCAGTCAAGCTAAAACACTTGGATAGATTAAATCCTCATTTAGGTGTTTATAGAAGAAAATGTTTTGAATGGAATGTGGCTGTTAATTACAGGGCAGTTGTATTTACATGTGAAAAAAATTTACTTGGTGGTGTCAGTAAACATTAGCACAAGCAACAGAGACTGTTTTAACAGTCTCTTAAGTAGAAATCATGACAGCATGAAATTAAAGGCATGAAAACCAGCCATTCTCAGGACTGAGACAAGCAAGAACACAAAAGTTAATTATGAGGAGTCATGAGAACAAGTGGCTTACCTGCCACTGCCACTTTCCAAGAGTGGTATTCCTTCTGCCTTGGTTTTTCTTGTCTCCTATATTATCTAGGAGTAGAAATGCCTATAGGCATTTCAGTTACCTGATTTTAGTGATCAGCCTGTTCCTCAGATACAGAGAAAAGTCGCTGTTAGTTTTAACCAGTATTTTCTTTTTCTCAGGTGGTACGTGACTTATGGCCATGAGCTCATATGGAAGAACAGAGAACCACTGGTGAAAGCTTGGCATGAAATGAGGACAAAGAACACAGGAAAGGGAGGAGGTGGAAGATCTAACTGATTCCAATCCTAGAGATTCCTTGTGCCCAAGTGGTACATTACTTGAAGACATGGGATTTAATTGGTTTTCTGCTACTCCACATGAAGCCTCTAAGGAGCTGAAGTTTCTAATGTAAATTACAGTTACAAAAATGCATATCAATAGAAAATGAACTCTGACAAAGGCAGAACAATAAAGGTTTTTATCCTGTTGCTTTCTGAGGTAATAGTCTGTGTTACATTTTTTTAAAGGAGAAATATATATTAAAAAAGGCTTTCCAATGAAGTGACCAAATGATCTGTCCACAAAGCTTCAATCTGGGGCACAACTGGTTAATACTTAGCAAAATTCACTTCCTTATGAATCATGCATCCCCCTAATGTCCTCCGAACACTATGAAGTGTTTTCCTGGAAGGCATGCTTTAGGCAGCCTGGACTTAACAGAAGGGTAATGTGGTAAAGTCCAGTGGTCTTTATTATTGACAAGATTAACTGAGATAAGCCAATGGTCTCTATTAATTTTAAATGTGAAATACGTGAAGCAATACTGGATTGTTTGCCAAAGCTTACATACTGGTTAATGGTACAGCTTTATTCATTCTGTGATTCTATTTATCAGCTGCAGCTTATTCAACCTGGGGTTTCCATTTCTATCTGCTTCCAAGATGATGTCAAATCTTGTTAGAATTTACTACAGTCGTATCTTTTTCGTAATTACATGCAGTGGAAGAATGTCTTATACTGTGGTTTTGAATGTTTTACTGTGAGTTATACTGCTAGTGCTTTCTATATTCTTTCACTGCATTAGTTTCTGGGTTTGGTTTTGTTTTTTAGTGTTATTCTGTATTGCTAATTTTAAGGGTTTTCTAAGTACTTTTAAACCTTAATATTTGGTTAAGAGTGTGCCAGGTCTATTAAATAAACAGCTACAGCAAAAATAGATTAGATGCCCTAGTAAAGGGTAGTACCATGACCAATGTTCCTACTGTACAAATAAAAACAACAATTGATTTTTGGGTATGTTGCTACCCTGTGCTTGTCCTGCAATGATGACTACCAAACCCCTTGCAAAGGGCTGAGAAGTCTGCCCAGATCTGAGCTGGTGCATTCAAACCCTCAGCTCCTCCCTATAGGCCGAATTAGTCATTCCAGGTATACTGACTTGCCAAAGAACATGTTGCTTCTGTAAGAAGCCAAGTTTTGACTTTCTGCTTGATAACAGTACCTTGCAGAAAATAATTTCTTGTAGGGGCAAAGAATACAGAATGCAAAAGGCACCAGTCCGAATAAATGATGGAGTACAAAATTGCTGTAAACTCAATTACTGGCACAGGCTAGCGTTCAAGTCTCATTTTTCTTCCTCCCTTGGAAAAATGAGGCCCTTGAGGATTTGTTCCTTAAGTGCCCGTCGACTTAAACAGTTGAAAAATGAAGGAGTCTGAATTTCTAATAGACCTTTGCTCTGCTCCAGAAGCTGCCTGGCTGTTTGGAACCTGTTACCCAGCCAATCATGCCAGTTTTTAGGGCTTCAGCCAAAGTGCAGCCCTGCCTGCAGCAGAGAGAGGGCAGCCGAACCTGCAGCAAACTGCCGCCAGCAGCAGTAACAACAGCCACCTCAGCCGTATAAGATAGCCACTGAACAGGCTTATCATAAGGGGGTATATCATGCCAAAGAAGCTCAAAAGCCATAGCTCACAGTATCTGCATGTTGATCTCAGACCTGTTTAATGCTTGTCTATCTGTTGCCTTTGCTCACTTCTTTTATTCCCCCCCCCCCCCCCTTGCATTACCTCTTGTCCACTCAACAGCTTACCTAGTCTGTTCAACATTTCTCTATTTGCTGAGGGTGTTTTTTAAAGAGATCCTGGTTGAAAGCAGCAGGGAGTAATAGTGCAGGAAATAGTATGTAAAGCTTGAATGACATTAGGTTTTACAGGTCTGGAAGAATAAGCCAAGGTTACAATTAAGTTCTTCACCATAGTAGCCAGTGCCTACCTTAGACTTCGAAAGTCATGCCCCTGTATTGCTTGCACAGGCTGGAGCCCCACTTGTGGTCTGTTAGACCTGCTAAGGCAGGAAGCGTGCAGGTAAACACCACAACATTTTCAGGCCGTCCCTTCAGAGGCAATGCCTGCAGTTCTGCTGGACTTCTGATGCATAAGCTTTACCTTAACTTTAGACCTAATAGCCTTGTAAAGGCTATTTGATACCTGAATCTTCCTTATTTATAGGAACTCTAGAGGCATTTAACATATGTACGAAGGTAAACCATCTTCTCTGCTCCAAAATTACTTTCAAACTGCAATAAGAAAGCTAACAGTCAGGGAATAGCCTGGAGTTATGACAGCTCGCTAGAGTACAAAATACATTTCTGGCAAGCAAATACCCTTCTTGCAAAATCTGGCATCAGTACCTCAGTATTTAGTCACACCTTTGAATAACAAAGAAATTAGAAGAATTAAAAAAACAAAACCAGAAAAAAAAAAACAATAACAGAAAGAACCAGTCACCTAAAACAAAACTAACCACGTGGAAAGACTTTTCTCCCCCTCTTCAAAGAGCTATTATTGTGCATAAGAACACAATGTAGTGATTATGCAGACTTGGCAGAGACAGCAGCCAGAGTTTGCATAGGGAAACAGAACTAAGTGTAAAGTCATGGTTAATTGTGTAGAGACACAATCCTTCACCCTTTTTTGATCCCTAAGAATGTCTGCTGTGGCCTTGCCATGTTTAAGGGGTATTTTGTTCCTTGTAGTGAACAGCTCTATTGGAATTTCATTTTATTATTAGAACAAACTGTCTGCTGGAGGTTTCAGCCCCCATTCCTAGCAGCAACAGCTGCTTTGCTGTCTGATTTGATGGCTTTCCTTAGTTTTACTGCTGCAGTATTCCTACCTCCTCCCCCAGCTTTTAATCACAATAAATCTCTTCTAAATGCAGACAAGTTTTTAATCTCACCCGGTGCCTCCTGGATCCCTTATCCAAGCTAGCCTTTGTGCCAGCTTCATCCTACCAGCTAGAATGAGCAGCAGCTCAAAAGCACTCCCTGGTGCTGTAGGTGGGCTCTGAGACACACAGCACCAGAGCTGAACTCAGCATTAGGAAGTGGCAGGCACAAGGAGTGCAGAGACATCCGATTTATTCTCCAATGTATTTTGCTAAGTCAGGCCTAGGAACAAGGATCAGAGCATCATTTGTACTGTGCCAGTGATAGCGATGATAAAGCTGATGTTCTGTTTTCTCCCATGGCTGTAAAGTCCATTTCTGAAGCGTTCTGCACTACACTCAAATCTGATTTATTTTTAAGAACTGCTACATAGAGCAGAATAGTTCCAGGAAAAAAAAAACAAACAACAAAACAAAACAAAAAAACAACAAACCAAAATGCAGCAGAACATTAAGAAATGTCTCCCTGAATATCCTTAAAAGCAACATTGTATTTGTGGGCTTTTCAGGCAAGAACTGAAAAGCAGCATCCAATACCCCATATGTTACTGTGTCAAGACTTCCGTGTGGGACCAGAAGTGTTACCTGGAATTTCTGACTCTCCCTGCCCTAGCCAACAGGCACAGGGAGTAGGGAGAATTAGAACCACCAGCAGCACCAGCAAGTGCCAAATCAGATACTTAGGACATCAGCATAATCTGCTAAAGGAGTTTCTTTCTATCCTTTGACAACTGTGTTTCAAAGGAGGTCAAACAGACAAGGAGAGGTTCTGTCTCAGACTAATACCTGCATTTCCAGCCCTCCTCCCCACCAGAGGTAAGTGCAATCCTAGACTGAAGCCTGAGGTGCAAATACACTACAGATACAGGCTGATCAGCTGAAACAGAGCAGTAAATCTCAGCTTTTCAAGTTCTACTACCTAATTTCATATTAGATCTCATCAGACAGCCACCTGCGACTAGATTATTCCATTCCAAAATAAAGTACCTGTGAAGTTAAACAAATAATTTTCTAATAGGTGGCATCTCAGTTTATCTGCACTCTTCACTTTTACAGCCTACAGTGACACATTCAGATCCAACTGCTTCCGCAGTAACCCACTGAATGGTGAACTGGGGAGGATTATCCCGCAAGATGCCAAGTTTCAAAAGCCTGACTTACCCCCAGTGTAATTCTGTCAGCTTTGGTGGTTTGTGCCGGGTCTGTTTGGGTATGAACCTCAGTGTACAAAAGAAAAGCTGTAATTTCCAGCCTCTGGAAAACAGTAAATAATGTGGACGATACAATAAGGTACATAACAAATGCTTGGGGTTTGGTCAACAGGTCGTATTTTAAAAGTGAAGCGGTTAAACTATTAATGCAAATGGAGGAAGAGGTGGGGTGTTATGAGAGGTGGGGGAGGTTGTAGACGGCCATTGGAAATGAAAATTGCAAAGCTGCTATTTCTCATCCAGATCGCTTATTTTATAAACATCCGCTTTCACATACAAATGATTTCACTAATCAGAGATGGTGATGGATAACTTGAAATTATAATTATTGGCATTTTACAAGGGTCTGTAGTGACAGGACAAGGGGAATGAATGGTTTTAAACTGACGGCAGGGAGATTGAGATGAGACATTAGGAAGAAATCCTTCCCTGTGAGGGTGCTGAGGCGCTGGCACAGGGTGCCCAGAGAAGCTGTGGCTGCCCCATCCCTGGCAGTGCTCAAGGCCAGGTTGGATGGGGCTTGAAGCAACCTGCTCCAGTGGAAGGTGTCCCTGCCCGTGGCAGGGGTTGGAACTGGATGAGCTTTAACGTCCTTTCAAACCCAAACCAGCCTGGGATTCTATGATAACTAAGCAGTGCCACCCAGCTAGAGCAGAGCAGTGTTCCCTGCCTGTGCCTGGATACACTGCGGAGCTCTCCGGGAGCAGAGCGGGCTCCTAGCGCACCGAAGGCAAAATCCGACTCGGAGGCGCACGGGGAGAGGGAGCCGGCGCCTCTTGGAAGTCACCGCAGGCAGCAGCCGGGGCCGCACTGGGGCTTCCCCCCGGGAGCCGCCTGCCGCCGGGTCCGGTCTCGGCGGCTGCTCCCGCACCGCCGGCAGCCCGGGTCACGTGCGCGGTCCGTAATCCCGGCGAGGGGGTGTCGTTACCGGGAAGGGGGGCGGCGGGAGGAGGGGCTGCCGCTCATGAGGGCTGAAGCCGGGTGCGCGGCCGGCTGCGGGCGCCGCTGCGGCCATGGCCTGGCCCTGCATCAGCCGCGTGTGCTGCCTCGCCCGCTTTTGGAGCCAGCTGGACAAGTCCGACCTCTCCGTGCCGCTCACCATCCACAACTACTCGGACATCGAGGAGCAGGAGGACGGGCCCCACCACCAGCGCGGCGGAGCGCCTCCGCGGGGCAGCGCTCGCCCGCCCGCCCCGACCCCCCGCCCGCGGGACCCCGCCGCCGCCATCGGGAAGCCGGGCGGGCGCAGAAAGAGCCGTGAGTCCGCCGGCGGAGAGCCCTTCGCAGCGGAGACCCAGTACCGGCGGGACTTCCGAGCGTGGCCGCTGCCGCGGCGAGGGGACGCCTTCCCCTGGGTCAGCGCCAGCAGCGGCGGGAGGGACGGGGCCGCCCCCCAGCCCGCCCCGGGCCGCGCCGCCTGCGCCCTGCCCGGCAGCGGCGGCCCCGAACAGCTCCGGCCGCGGCCACAGGCGGACGGCGGACACACCACCTCCTACAGGTAAGCGGGGCCCGCTCCCCGCCCCGAACCAGGGATGCTCCTCCGCAGCACAGAGAAGGGGGGCTGTGAGCAAGGGAACGGGGGAGGACGGGGACTGCCGCCTCAGCCTGTGCCAAAGCCGCGTTTGCTTTCGGAGGTGCGGTCCCGCAAAGCGTCGTTTGGTCCCCGGGTGCTTTTGCACCAGAGGCGGCTCGGCTGGGCGGCCCAGCGCTCCCTACCCCCTGCCGCGGATAAGGAGTAAAAGCCGGGTAGGATCCATGATGCCATCCCCAGTCAGCAGCTCTGCACCTAACCGCTACTGGGAGACACGGGGCTGGGGATAGCTGGAGCTGCACAGGACACGGCTGTACTCAACAGTCGCACTCCCCGAACTTGACAGGGCTATCATCTTCTTCCCTGCAGAACTCCTGTTCAAGGCAAGCCAAATGATTGCCTCAAAGATTAGTCAGACGCAGACACCAGGGATATATCCCCCCAGACATGCCATCTAACGGGTGATGGGAAAAACCATCATAAACCACCTTTCCCAAAGAGCCTGTAAAATTATTACATGACTTTTATGCTATCGATGCCTTCCTTTCCCAGTGATCAGGACAACTGATTACAAACGCTTATTTCCTGGAACAAGTAGTCAGGCTGGATGCACATAAATCCAGCCCTTGTTCTCACTGACATCCACCATGGGAGGAAAGGGGATTTCAGCCCCTACAAAGGCTGCTGTTGAATATGGTACCAGTTTCGCATTGTTACCACACACTTCCTCAGAATGATATTTGGGAGGCTTTAATATTCCTATGAGGTACACCGAGAGTAACTGTTTTTACTTCAGTAGAATCCCAAGCATTTAGATACTTGTTATCTATTATGTACCTAGGAGACATTTCTGTTTTTAAGTGCAATTCATTACGTTTTTATCACAGCACTTTTAAGACAAACACACTGGGGCCCTGAAAAGATTACAGGCCAGCAGAGGAAAGTGCATTGCTTATCCCACTCCTCCTCATGCAGACAGCTGCCCTGGTACTAGCGCAATTGCCATATGGATCCTGGAAGGATAACTGCAGTGCTTGAATTTATGCACTGTTCTATCCTTTTCTCACAGGACAGTCACGGGGTGATGATTGGTTTTGAGGGAAAGCACTTTCAAATTTCAAAGCAGCACAAGAATTACTTTAGAGAAACCTCCCTAGAACAAGACCAGCAAGGGGCATCTTTCAGAAACACAACCCTCTCCACACTGTTGTTGAAGCCTCCTTTGGTTCTCCAGCCTGACCTCAAAGGAAGGGTGCATCAGCCTACATGAGAACTTTCCTACAGCCATTCTAATGCTCAGACTTCTCACACCTTTCTTCCTTCTGACTTGTCTGTTCTTACATAGGGCTCTCAACTACTTTCATGGAGGAGCAAGAAGTTTACAGATCACACAACAAAGTACTGGCTGGAGTGACACACTAACATGCAAATCAAACCAAACTTTGCAACATGTAATACTTCACGGTAGCTTCAGGAGAAGCAGGGCAGGGTGAGGATGGAGGCACACGGCTGGGCAAAGTTCTCACATAAAACTTTTAAGCTGTTTGGAGGCTATGCAGTACAACTAATACAGGTAGGAATACACATGCCAAACCACTTTTATCTTATTCCAGTAATTCCTACAGTTTCTTTGAATGATCACTCAGTACAACATTGCAAATATAAGAAATCCCCAGACCACTGAGCACACAAGTCTAAACAAGCAGTAGGAAAAAAGCCCACAGTAGCTTCACAATCTGCAAAAATCTATTTTAATTTAGATCTGTTGCCTTCTTCTGCAAGCTGAGCACTTAACCGCATTTCCACTAATGTCACTATACTTATGTCTCTTTTCCTCTTACCTTAGTATTTCCAAAAGTAGCACTGAAGTCTACAGACATTAATCTTTCCTCAGGGGTTGTTGCTCTCCAGCTTCCTCTCTGGCAAAGGCCTGTGGACTAGGCTGTCCCTTGGTAACCACACACAACTCCACTATCCTCTAGTAGCAGGGATCTGCCCCAACTCTTCCTGTAGGCTGCATTCACCCAGAGGCACGGAGGCAACTAAGGAAGGAGAAAACACAGGTCACCTTTGGGAGAGGCAGAGCAGGGGGGTTCTGTTACAGGCAGCAGCTGGGGGGTGCTGGGCCTGAGCAGAACATTGGTGAACCATGTAATGCCTTTAGAGCGTGCCTTGAGGAATCAAAGATGTGCTTCATTTTGAAAGACAAATTCTGTATAAATGGTGGAAGAACAGCTTAGCTGCCTGACCTCCAAACTATTGTCCCATGTTCCCAGATCTATGGGGCAGCTCCTGTTTCCAGTCCCTGGATTTGGGCTGGAGTTCTGCAGGGCCTGAATTAGTCAAACCTCAACTGGGGTACAGGGGGGGAGCTCAGGCACACAGGCTGAGGCAGATATATATAAGCTGCACTTGAAATGCTAGAATGGGATGTGCTCCAACTGTGAAAAGACCCTGGGGACTGCAGAGAGTTGAGGTGGATTATTCCTTACTGATGCTGGAGGAGGTGGAAGGAAGTGCTGAGCACCCACTGCTGCACCTTCCCAAAGGTTTGTCCTTTGGGGTCATGGAAGTACCTTCTCCCTTTCAGCAGTAAGTTGCAGGTGCTGTGCACTTCTGGCTTTGCACACAATTAGTCGTAGCATGCTGGAAACAGATGAGTGCTTTACTTACCTCACTTCTGCAGTGAATGTGAGAAGCTTTTGGCAGGTATCTCCAGCTGGCTCTGTTCTCTGGATAGCATCACCTCACCTTGCTAAAAGGCAGCGTGGACCCAGGCACAACCTCTCTGCCAGGGCTGGTATTGCTGGGAGGAGAGCCCTGTGCAAGGCTCAGCTGTACTTTAAGTCACTTCAGACTTCAGTTTCCCCTTCAGTAACATGCCAGCTTTAGGAAAGCACTTCAGATGTGCTTTCACATCTACACAGAGCTGTGAGCAATTGTTCTGCCTCTTCTTCCCCCACCCATCACCTTTACTTGTATTAGCACTTGGGGAATGGGGGAATGGTTATTTCTGTACACATGCACAGCTCCAGCCCCAAGCAGAGCTTCATCTTTGCAGCTGGTGTTTTCACACCATAGGTGTTTTGAGCAGGAGTGAGAGTCATAACACCCAACTTGTTTGCAGGTGGGAGGCACAGCTGTAAAGCAGACCAAACTTGAGATCAGCAGGGTTTCCTGTGCACCCAGGAGGAGCAGTTCTGTTCTGATGAAAAGGTTTGAAAAGCTGAGGTCATTACAGAGATGTAGCATTGACAATGATTTTGGGAATAGCAGGGTGAAAGATCCCTCAGCAAACTGCATTTCCACCTTCTTGTGTGAGTATTCAGCACATGATGTCCATTGCATTTGTGCCTGTGGAGCTGACATAGAATCATAGAATAGTTAGGGCTGGAAAGGACCTTAAGATCATCCAGTTCCAACCCCCCTGCCATGGGCAGGGACACCTCACACTAAACCATGCTACCCAAGGCTCTGTCTAACCTAGCCTTGAACACCGCCGGGGTGGAGCATCCTCCACACCAAGGCTGATACCACAGAATGGAGGGGAAGACACTTTTCGCATAAGTATGGATGCAATCGCAGAGCATCCTGTCCATACTGGCTGTCCATACTATCCACCCCCCTTTAGACAGTGTGCAGAAAGGCAACATGAACTGTGGTGACTGCTTCATGTTGAAAAGCACCTTATTTCAGCTGTGCAGAAGAAAACAGAAAATGCCTACACTTGTGTTCAGCAATGTGTGGGATCATTACACACACCTGAGCTGGCAGGGTTAACAGTACTGTGTATGAGGAGCTCCATCCTTGATCCAGCAAGATATTTAAATGCATACTTATCCTTAATAATAGGAGTAAAGCTTTTATAATCAAGGCTTACAGTTATCTTTACATTCTTAAGTATCTTGCTGCTTGGGGAAATTAATACTGAAGCCCCTGATTTTTATACAATTTAAGAAGTAAGCTTGCTTGGTGTAGGCATTGGGATGGATCCAAAGGGACCCACTGTGCACTCCATAGCCTGGCTGGGGGAAGGGAGGGCTTGAACAGGGACAGAGTCATGGGAAGAGAGAGGGAGAGGGGTGGAAATAGTGGCTCAAGAGAGGATGTCTGATATGCAAAGTACACTGCAGAACTGAAATGGGAAAGATTCAAAGCTGCTGCATAAAGGTTGGAAGAATTTCTTCCGCTCAAAGTACACCCAAACTTACGTTAGAGAAAAAGAGGAAAGAAAGGGAAGTGGGCTAATAACAAAAGACAAGCTCCTAAGACCTATCCACACCCCTCATTCAGACAGCTGCCTGTCCTATCAAGGATCTCTGTGAGGAGGGCAAGCCCCTAAAACTCACCCTAAGACAACATTTTGAGGCTTACAGATTTTTCCCGACCTTTCAGTCCAGTCTTTTGCTGTTGTTTCCTTCCTGTGAGTTATGAGCAGCTCAAAGTACTGCATTACCTTGCTGCAGGCAAGAGCTGAGACGCGAAGCAGCCAAGTGTCTTCTGCTTTCCTGCTCTCTAATTCCCGTGTGCTGGTCTCTCTACCCTCATAGGTTTTTTCTTCCATCAGCTTTTCCTTTCCCCCATTTCTGTCCTTGTGCTGTGCTCTTTGGCCAGGCAGGAGAATGGGCACAACCTGCTCGTGTCCAAGACCTGGAAGGGGCTCCAGCACATGTCAGATCTATCTCAGAGGAAAAACAGTTCAATGGGTCCATTATCCAGGAGGGCTCATGCCATAGGAGATCAGTCATCTCTGTTCTGCCCAGCCCTTCCCTGCAGCTCAGAATCCTGGATTCACCCAGGGAAAATGGTGACTGCAAGAAAGAAATGCTGCTGTTGTGGGTCTAAGTCATGGCTGTATCTGCCCTCACACTTTTGTTTCTATGGGTGAAGGCAGAACCTTTCCTCTGTTGTTTGTAGGTGCCTTGAAAATAGCCTTGGCTATCCCGGCTGAGAGGGGAACAGTTTGACTTCCAGCCAAAATGAGGGTCCTGTGATCCAAAAGGGCTGTGTTTGGGGGCCTGCCAAATCAGCAAATGATCTGTACAAAGCAGCCAGACAGAGCTGGCTGCAGAGACAGGCAGCACAGTCATTCATGGAAAGCTGGGTATGCACTATTGCAGTGTGATGCAGCAGGGAGACCAGCCAGCACAAGGATGAATGGTTAGGAATCAATGGCACCAGCATCCTTGAGGCTATCCGGCTTTATGTGGAGCAGCAGGTTCCAGTTCCTGGAAACTGCTGGGATGTAATTGATGGCTTTGTACCATTTTGCTGGTATTTTGCCCAGTAGCTGTGTGTCCCACCTCTGACTGCACAGCACTGCAAAGCTCCGATTGTAACTCTGCATTCACATGTGGCTGGGATTCCCTGCTGAAAGGTTGCCTTCTTGGGGCACTGCTTGGCCAAAATTGCCTTTCTGCAAAGGTGCTTCCTTATCCTCTGGCGCTAAAGCAGCAGGAACCTCATCATCAGCACCCTGAGAACTGCACAGGCTGAACAGCAAGATGCAGAAAAGGCAGGAAGTGAAGGCTCAAACAGCAAGAGCAAACTACTCAGAGACAAGATTTACAGTGCACATAGACAGGCCTGACAGGGGCCTGGGTTTGCTTTCTGGCAGCAGGAAGCTCTTCCAAAGAGCAATATTTGTTACTGACTGACTGGATTTAAGAACTCACTTCCACCTTCACTCAAGCTGACAAACTGCTGTCAGACCCAGCTGCAGGCTCCTGCCCATTTCCTTGTGCCTGCACATGAACTCATCCATCTTGATAGGAGGCCAGTGCCAGCAGCTTACTCAGTCAAGAAACAGTTACTTAACTGTTTGGAATTAATTTTGGTAGCATTCTGGTTTCTCATTGGCTTAAATACAGCCCAGAGTCATATCCTGTGCCTAGAAATCAACCAAGAAAAGGGGCGGCACTATAAGGCTGAATCTATGTTTAGAAATTGAGCATAAACCAGGCAGTAGGTATTTTGGTAATATACTAAAAGGATTCATAGAATCATAGATTGAGACCAGGCTACACATTCTCAAGTAATACTCCACACCTATACACTTTAAATGAGTTTTAAAAAGAGGAACTGCAGCTACTATCAAAATAGTAAACAGCATGCTTGGGAAAGTCATAAGCATAGTATTATAGAATGGTTTGGGTTGGAAGGCACCATAAAGCTTATCCCATTCCAACCTACTGCCACAGGCAGGGACACCTTCCACTAGAGCAGGTTGCTCCAACCTAGCCTTGAACACTGCCAGGGATGGGGCAGCCACAGCTTCTCTGGGCAACCTGTGCCAGGGCCTCAGCACCCTCACAGAGAAGATTTTCTTCCTAGTATCTAAATCTGAATCTACCCTTTTTAACTTAAAGACATTCCCTCTTGTCCTGTCACTACATGGCCTTACCAAAAGTCCCTCTCTAGATTTCTTATTGGCCCCTTTAGGTATTGGAATGTCTCCCTGGCATCTTCTGTTCTCCAGGCTGAACAACATGAAAATCAGAAAGGCTATGATCAAAGCTAAGCTCGGCACATTAAAACACTGCCTATTTTCCTAGCCTGGACATGGCTCAGGACTCAGTCTTACCCCTTGATCCTGTGTATAAGCAGCTAGTAAAGGCCTTTGCAGCTACTCTGAGCAGATGTACCTTGTGAATATGTTGTGTTTTACTGGTTCCTAATCTCATTTCAGGCAAGAGTATCGCCCATGGACTGGAGCAAAACCATCCAAGCCTATAAAGACAAAGCAAGGCTTCATTATCCCAGAAGACCATTTTGTTAAAGAGACAAGCTACAAGGCAGACTTTAAGGTAATTGACATTTGTTAAAATCCCACAGTTGATATGAGTAAAGCCCAAAGTGCACATAAGGAACTCCTCATTTTTTACCAGTGTGCTTCATGTAGAATAAAACCATGCCCTCATTGACCACTCTTTCGTCACAGTCCCTTAGGTAATGTGGCCATCCGTTCCTTGGGATTTTCCTGTGAGTTTCTATAACTCTCTATATACCAGCTTATTTTCTTGGTGAAATACATCTAAGTACTACTAAAATTTCTACAAGAAAATGTGTCTTTGTACTCAACATTTTCTTTGGCAGGGTTCCCCACACTCCCTATCCCCATGAAGGAGGACAATGTGCCCCAGCAAGGCTCTAGTTCAGCTGCTTATTGAAGCAGACCACCAAAAAGAATGGCACTTCACAACCAACCCTAAAAGCCATTCACTGGCAACACTGAGAGACTGGGAAAGCAGAAAGAGGCTGGGGCTGAATTCCCTGGCCACAGCGTGTCATGGGGTTAGAGGTAATAGCAGATGCCCCAGGGCCACATGTAAGAAAGTAAATTTTAGCCTTGCAAAAGAGGAGGAGGAAGTGTTTAATTAGCAGACAGTCAAGTGTCCCCTCCACAGAGGATTGCTGGCACACTGCTGTGACATGGCACAGGAGGCACAGGGTGGGTAAGCTCCACTAAAAGTGGGACAGTAACCTCAGGCAAAACAAAATCTTCAAACCTCACCAAAACTACTTCCTTTCTCTGAATAGTCTGGGCTGATTACTGAGGTGCAGCAATGAGAACAGAGGTTATTTAACCCTTATCCCCTACATTTTGACCCTGAAAGGGCAAAATACAGTGTCTTCCTATTTGGCAGATAGGATACAAAGGAGCGGGGTCTAGATGAACCTCTCAGAGTCACTATCCCAGTTCTCAAGGAAGGGAAATCCCAGACACAAACACATGCCACTGAGGACACTGCACTCTGGACTGTCCAAACAGAGGTCCCATCTCCTGGAGCCCCAGGGCATCACCACAGCCTCTCCTCCAGACAGTATGGGAAAGGTGTAGTGTGCTGAGGAGTCACCAGTTCAAAGAGAAGTTGGACTCTCCGTGGTTCACACTTGGCCATTTAGGCTTTCCCTCTTGCCTGAAGCCTGTGCTTTTGCTCCCATGGGGGAATCAGGGTTATGTTGTGTCCCAACTGCCTGCTTTGCTACTGAGCTGTGCACAGGCTGTTTGCGACACTCCTCTTGTTCCTTAGTGTGTCAGACGCATCCCCAGAGGAACGGAAAAATCAGAACAATGAAACAACAACCAGATCGATAGCTTTCCCTGTACTCTCTTTGCCTGTGGTCTTGCTCTGTTTTCTCTGCTCCGACGGTGCCATCAGAACACTCAGCACCCAGCAAAGCTTTCCATCCTTTCATGTTTTACAGCCAGATTTCACCCAGAATCCTGGGCTGGAATCACAACTATGGCCAGTCCTATTTCAAATCCTTTAAGCATTAGGGAAGACACAAGCATCCAGGTGTCCCTCATGCCTCAGTAAAACCACAAAAGCCACATACTGCATGAAATTCTGACTCCACAGACATGAGAAAGAGCAACCTCTGTTATCTCTACCTTTTCCTCCAGGCCTGAGGAGCTAAAATCCTTATCAAAGCCCTTGCAGTTTCACAGCCTGGCTCAGCCAGTAACTGTTTTTTCTCCTTCAGGTGCTTCAGGTCTGTCTTGTAGAGGCTGGCTCAAGGCCTGCCCAGCTGTGGTTGTCCCCCATCAAACCACACACCTCAAGGTGCAAGGGCTGGGCTACAACAAAGCTCCATGCCTTGTATACCAAGGCCAGTTCCATCGACTTTACAAAGACTGCAGAAAGGCTCAGTACACTCAGAGTGTACCAAGGAAAAGCTGAGAGAGTTGGGGTTGTTCAGCCTGGAGAAGAGAAGACTCTGGGGAGACCTCATTCCAGCCTTTCAGTACTTAAAAGGGGTCTGTAAGAGAGATGGGGAGAGACTTTTTACCAGGGCCTGCTGAGATAGGACAAGAGTGATGGTTTTAAACTAAAAGAGCAGAGACTCAGGCTGGACATGAGGAAGAAACACTTTTACAATGAGGGTGGTAAAATCCTGGCACAGGTTGCCCAGAGGTGGTGGATGCACCATCCCTGGAGACATCCAAGCCAGGCTGGATGTGGTTCTGAGCAACCTGATCTAGTTGAAGGTGTCCCTGCTCATTGCAGGGGGTTGGAACTGGATGCGCTTTGAAGGTCCCTTCCAACCCAAACTCCTCTATGCTTCTAGGATTCTATGACTGATGCCCAGACAAGAACTACTGCTTGCATGTTACAGGGGAGAGCAGACTGTCACAACACCCCAGAGCCCTCAGACTCTCTAGGCAATCCGGTTGCACCCTGTGTCGCACTAATGTTTCTCTCCCCCCTCACCCCACTAGATCCCAGAGGTGAAGACCAGGTTCTCCCCCAACCCTTCTGCTGTTTTCCAGGCGCCGTCACGGATCCTCAACGTGTGAACCCAGACCCTCCTCACACCCAGGCAGCTCAGACATGGAGTTAGATGTATCTATGCAATTTTCATGAGGAGCGTTAAGATCAAAGAGCCAGTGTTACCAACAGCAGCCCCAGTGATTGATGACATGCACACAAACTTTCTGTTAACACAACAAACCGCAAAGCACTTGGTTCAGAGCTGGCAAACCATGCTGTGAGGAGTGACCTAGTTTTACATGGGAGCACGTTCATTACTCTGCCAGCTGGCCTCACATTAGGAGATTGACTTCAGGCAGCAAAGGCAGCAAGTATAGCAGGCAACATCCCTGTGCTCAGATACACAGGGTGGGAGGGGAAAACAGTCACAAATGGGATGGATAATTAAAACCAAAAAGAGTTTCATCTAGCAGGATCCTCTTAAGTAAACAAGTGAAAGACAGGGAGCATCTGGATGACTTCGGAGCTTCTTGAGGGGTTTTGGAAACAGGACCTGAAATGGCTGCACCAGAAAACATAGCACCAAAAAGGCTGGTGTGAACTTCCAGGGTTGTTTCAGAAGCTGGAGGAAGCCAGCATCATTGAACTCCAAAATGCATCTGGCATATGCAGTGTCTTGGGGCTTCAAGGCTAGAAAGCTGGACGTTTCCATGACTGGTGGGCTCACACAGAGGGGACTGAACTTCAGGGGACAGCCCTGAGAGCAATGCACCAGCCTGGTTTGGAGAGGATTACATGGACAGTCAGGCACCTGCCAGGCTCCAAAGGAGCTGAGATACATATTTAATTTGTATAGCTGTTAGGGGGAGTGTAAATACTGTATATGGATTTTACCTAAACCAATTTGTGATCCTTTAATGAAAAGGACATGCTTATACTTTTATTAAATGTTAAGTCTTTGCATATGCAAGGTGGGAAATACTGCCTTGAAATTCCTAAATTATTGCCTGTCTATTGGTAATGCTAATGCTAGGAACAACCAGAAGTGAATGTTACTTAGAAACTCTTCTTAACACAGAATGTCAGACATCCTTGATTTTGAAGATAGGCCATTTTAAGTGTCATTGTTCTAAAACTGATTCTTTTCAGACTGGTCTACATTTTGCTGAGGTCCATGTGTTATAAGAAACTATTTTTTAGCCTTTGTTCATCAGGACTGTAGTGGGTTTACAGTTTCTGTCTCAATGACTTATGCAACTGGAATAGTCTACTGCGCATTTCATGGTTTTCCTAATTTTTTTTTGGGAAAAAAATTGAAAAACTTATAGTTCATCTATATATATATAGCTTGCAACACACAAATGTATTGACCAGAATCAAAGGAAACTATCCTCAGACTTGAACAGTGATCAGATATTCATTCATCCGTAATGAATATTAATGAAATCATAATCATAGAATCACAGACTGGTTTGGGTTGGAAGGGACCTTAAAACTTACCCAGTTCCAACCGCCTGCCATAGGCAGGGACACCTTCCAATAACTGAGGTTGCTCCAAGCCCCGTTCAACCTGGCCTTGGGATGGAACTTCCCACACTCATCCCCAAACGCAGAGGAACCTACAGTAATACCAGTGCTTGCCAAAGTAATTTTTCAGGAGATCCATTTTTTCAGGAAATCCACTGGAAACATTCAAATTGTACAAAGGGTTTGCATGTTAGATGTTTCTAAGAATTCAATCTGCTTGTTTAATCTCTTTATAACGTTTCTTACAGTTTTGTTCAAACAGTTTGTTTCAATTCTGGACTTTAATAACAGCAAAAAGAAAAGATGATAAATTGTCTATTCAGTCTTACTTCCTAATTCATTGTATTTCTTAAAAGAAAAAGAAATCAATGCAGTTGTAAACAAACTCATAATACAATAAGCTTGTATTTTATCAAAATGACTGGATTTAATTTAATAAATTAAAATGTATTTTGGCTATTGGTTCTTTCCCCAAATATTTTTTTTGGGGAATAACCCTTGGGTATTGAACCTTGCAGATCCCTGCATTTCTCTTACCTAGCAGCATGTGAAGGACAGCAAGGGACACAAGACACCAATTAAGGTGTGAGGAGATGCCTGACTGCAGTCACAGCCATCAGCAATCAATTCCTTACTCCTCAAGCTTATCTGCAGGCACAGACTCTGCAGCAAGAAAGGCTCCCAAGTCACATTTCAAGCTGTGGTCCAACTGCTGATTTGAAAGCACAAGTGTCTTCCAAAGGAAAGCTGTTGCTCTGCAGAATTCATCATCACTTGTGGGATTTTCCCTGAACATTTTCAAAGGGAAAGCAAACTCTTCAGCAAGCAGTCTATCAACACAAACGGGAAAAGAGGATGAACCAATGATACCAATTTCCTGCATTCACTATTGAACACACAGGAGCTAAATCTGCTCTGGCGCAGGTGCCATGCTCTCAAGATCCCCTTTCAGCGATGCCCACAGTGTGCCCTGCTAACACAAAGGGACAAGCAACTTGCATTTCACAGAATCCTGGACAGGTTTGTGCTGGAAGGGACCTTAAGCTCATCCAGTTTCAACTCCTGCCACAGGCAGGGACACCTTCCACTAGAGCAGGTTGCCCCAAGCCCCGTCCAATCTGGCCTTGAACACTGCCAGGGATGGGGCAGCCACAGCTTCTCTGGGCACCCTGTGCCAGCACCTCAGCACCCTCACAGGGAAGAATTTCACCTTGGTTTCATTCTGCAATCCCACACGGATCACAGGGAAATGGTGCTAGCTTTGAACCTTAAGAGAGACCATCACTTTACAGTTGTTCCCAACAATGTTTCAGTGAGTAAAAGGTACTGGAGGTACAACAAGCTTCCCTAGACAGTGTGATACCAGCTCTTTTAACTATGCCTCAGAATACTTCCAGGACAAAGCCAAAGGCTCACAAGCTATTGAGTGGCTCTAACTACAGGAGGGATGAATGGAGGGAAGATCAACCAGGTACTTACCATTACAAGGGACAGGGTGATGCAACTGGCTGCTGCTGTCTGCAACACAGCTGATTTTGCACCTGCCTCAGCCAAACTGAAAGGTATCACACAAAGTTCCTCTGAAGGGGGCAAATCTACACAGGTTTTGCAGGCTCCAGGGAGTCAGAACACCAGGACTGCTTTCAATGCTGCTCTCTCACTAGCATTTCTTCCCAGTTGCTCTGGGTTCACATCCAGCTCCATCAAGGCTTTCCAACTGTGAATCACACTACAAACAAGGGTGTTATTTGACACAGAAAGAAACATCACTTAAAAGAGGGAAGGTTTTACACTGGAAACATTATAATTTACTATCTTCAGGGGCACACTGAACCTGCTTGTTTCATTCCAACTTGCTGACACAGGCTTGTTGGGATGCTGACAGTGAGTTTTGTGCCTCCTGCATGCACTATGCCCGAGAGCTGTGAACACCTGCACCTCCACATGCTGTTTTGTCTGTGATGGTAACTGGTAGGTGTCCCTGTTTTTATCCTGACCCTCAAGCCTTATTTTCTACCCCTGCTCTGCTGAAGGGGAGCAAGAGCAGCAGGGTGGGTGTCCAGCAGCCAGCCAATGTCAATGCACCATGCTTTTCAATCTTCCACACCAACCAATACTCACTGTTGCGGAGGAGTTAAGCTTGTTGAGCTCTGTGCTCCCCTTCCCCCAGCCTCCAAACCCAAGAGCTTTTTATAGGAACCAGAAAAGGGAAAAACTACCTTTTCCTTCATCTCGATTCCACAACTGCCCATTTCAATCCACAACTAGGACATTCAGAATATACACAGCACACAAAAATCTGTGGATTTGGAGAAATTTGAGTGACAGCTGACAGTCAAGACAACCTTAGCACAGCTAATAAAGAATTTATTGTAAACATATGTATCTTACACAATTATACAGTATAATACAGATAACATGAAGGATTTAAACACTCAGCATTACAAACAGGGGCAATATTTGTAAAGAGATTTTTAACTTGCATCAAGACTCTTCAGAAAGCCAGAGAAATATACTATAACATCTCAACACATTGGACCATCCGTAGGGTTCCACACATACACCTGAGCGGGTGCATGAAATTCCACAACCTCTAAACTCATCTCCAAGCAATTCCCACAGGAACTTCACGGACAAATTTTTCTCCCACCCCTTTTCAAAATTCAAAGAACTTGTTGCAAACATTTCCTATATCTGAAGGACTACACAAATGTGTTATTTTCTAGCTGCTTTTAACAGTTTATTTTTCTTCAGCAAACTTTTTATATTATTAATATAGCATCCCCTAGGAGAATAACCTGTGGTTGCTCAGAAACGTAGCAACAGATCTGCACTGCAAGAACCCCATTAAGAACAAGGGGTATTTACTTGCCTGCTTCAGGGCCAGGTTCAGGACTCACTCTGCAACTCCATTCCTCACAGTAAAGCAGGACACAGGCAAAGGAAGCCACGATTTGCAAACAGATGCTGGAAGACAAACTCCTGCATCCTCAAAAGCTGCTCTGGGCATATCAAAATCCACAGGAGACAGGGGCTGGAAATGCGTCATTGCACAAGATCCTAGCATGACTGAGTCTGCCTAACGGGCTGTTCCCACACAACCTGCAGGCTGCCATAGTGATAGTGACAGGTATCTTGAAAATGCCCTTCTCTCTTGTGAAAGCTGTGTACAGGGATGCCCAACAGCACTATGGACTTGGAATTCAGTACAGCCTACAAGCAAAGTGTGGGGCCTGCAGTTCCACAGCTACCTGGATTCCTCCCAACTCCCAACACTGAGCTCAACTATAATCACCACTGCTCTACTCCTTCACACTGACCTCAGCTGAAAAACCAGTGTCAGGGCTAAACTGGGTACTTCACTTGTTCAGGCAATCCTGCACTCAGCTCACCCAAATAAGCCAGGATTATCTTCTGAATCCAGAGCGTATGAAGTGCCCTATGTAGGGGGCATTTAAGTCCATCTCTGAATGCTGTTTGGATTTCATCCACTGGTCCCATTTCCTAGATTCACAGGTCAGGTTCTGCCACTCATATATTCAAGTGAACTGTAACTGTCTGATAATTCTAATGAACCAACAGGGGCCCTCCTGCAGACCCTAGTTTTACTTATGGTGCTAAAGACAGGCAGTATCTCATCTGAGGTACATGGTACCTTCTTCAGTTTAAGAAGTGCATCGAATCTATGCTACTATCCTCAGACACCTGAAACCATCCTCTTCCACAGTTCCTGCACACTGAAGTTACCATCTGTACTGCATGTTACCACCACCTGTCTTCTAGCCCAAAAAAAAGCACCAAAAAATAGCATTTTGAAGACCTCTGTTCCTGTCCCAGATGAGGAAAGATAACTGTGGTTTAATGTTTATAAAAGGCTTTGTATTGTCAAAGCACGGCACCAACAAGAGCGAGGCCTCAGTACACCCCTTTGAGGTAGGTATCCTGCTCCCCATGCTCAGAGATGGGGAAACTGAGGCACAGAGTGATTATATCAAAGGCCATGCAGCAGATCACAGACCCAGCTGAGATCAGCGCATTGGAGTCCTGGCTGCTTGACCCATGCTCCACCATGTGAAAGCACTGCCTCACAAAACAAGCACCCTGAAAGCATGACAATCAAACAGTTACCCCACCAACTTCACAATGGCTTATTCACACTACTAGCAAGCACCCATGGGGAAGGACAAAGGGGTGGTGGATGTGGGGTGGTCAGGATGTTGTCAGCGAAGCCTTCTTCAGTGAAGTGTTCACAGCCAGGCTGCAGACACGTCTCCTACATCAGAGATGTTCCTAGACAGTTAAGTGCCGAGGTTAGTAGCAGAACTTCTTCCTGCAGTCAAGACAGAGGAGATCCCTACAAGCAGCAAATCTTTGATGTTTTGATCCTATCAGGCCTCTCTGTGTTGAGCAGAACTTCAGCCAAAGCGCTGCTGCTCCCCTAGCACTTCACAATCCAAGCTGATCATCAATCAATGCTGTCCAGACATTATGACCTTACAACACAGCTTGTTACCTGTCCCTCAGAACACTCCAAACCTTCAAGCAGCATGGGGAGGCACTCACTGGGTAAGGAAAGGGTTTCAGCCAGCCAAAACCTACAAATACTGTCCCCACTCCCCTCCTTTCCTATGCAGGACAAGTGGTCAGTCAAGTTTTACCAAGCCTGACCATGGTTTGCTCATGGTGACTGAGCATGTGCCAGTCTACCCTTCTGAGATGACTAAGAAAGGTGGCACCTGGCACCTCTTTAGAGGCAAGGAATCTGGTTATTCACTTTGCTGAAAAAGCTGACAATAAGCCTACCCAGCTTACTGATGTGTGCTTAGTCACATACATCGTATGCTGGAGCAGGACTGCCAGAATTTGTTGCAGCCATCAGCCTCCTGCTCACCCACACCTAAACCTACCTGACCAACTCACCCATCTACTCAAGTAACTACCTTTAAAAGTTGTCTTTGACTTCTCTCGTATTCAGAGTGCCAAAGCAACTGTTCTGCCCACTGCATGGGAAGAACAACTCCTGTGCAGACTGCATCAAAAAGTGTAATTTCTTTCCTAAGAAAAAATGTTCAATCTCATCAAAACAGCTGTCTCAGAGGGACCAGGCCGGTGGAGTCTCTCACAGCTAGCAACTCGATGCAAACTGACAATGTTTGTTCAGCCACTGAACATACACTTACCAAGTAAACACTGACATTTAACAACTTGATTTGGAACAGAGCATCATTTTGTTGCATTAAGGTGCATCTTTAATTGGAGGTAACAATCTAGTAGCCCAATGTTATAAACGTATATGTGTCCTACAGAAATATTGGATTTGTCAAACCAACTTCAGTCATAAATCCACCTTTCCTGTAGCACCTTCTTTGCTCTATTTCATTGTTCCTCATTTAGTATCTTCATGTGTTTGTTTGTGAGGAAGTCAAGAAAGGGAATATTACAGATGGCTTTGTGAATATTCATCACTGTGATCTCTCTTGGAGTCCTGCAGGGAATGCAGAGATGATATTATAATACATAAAAAGACACGTGTCCAGAAAATAGCAAGTTAAGAAAACTACTAGGGAAAAATAAATTAAAGAAAGAAGACCCATTAAAAAAACCCAAACCAAACCAAAAGATCAAGTGTTACAGCACAAGCATTAAAATGTCACAGCACAAAAAACCCACTCGAATGACTAAGGGAAACATCTTGGGCACCAGGACAGGAAAATCCAGTGCTTAAGTATTAATCCTTGAACTTCTGTAGCACAGACTGTGTATATTTTCCTCTATATAACATAAATACATATGTTTAATATATATTATATAAATATCTATATGCTGCATGAGTAAATATTTAATCTAAGCATTTTCTTGTAGTGTTACTTTTTTTTCCTCCCAATTCCAAGCTATTTCAAATCATGTTGCTGAACAAAAGTCAAAACGTGGCCTAATCATTACCATAAAAATCACTCAGTATCTGAGCTAGAAAAGAGAAAATAAAGAAGACTTTAGGTTGTTTTAAGTTCTGGTGGGCCATGGGTAACTTGTCTACATGGTAACATGAGATGGACAGGAGTTAGAAGGTCCTTCCAGCATGGCTCTGGTCATCCTTTGAGCATGGCAACAGCAGAGACTCCTGCCTCAGTTTTTAATATTGTTTATGTACCCATTCTTTGCCACTATGGAGCTAGGAAATGACAAACCCCCTCACAAGCCTTGGATCTTCTCACAGAATATAGTTCATAAATTCCCTCCATCATGTGGTCTGATCACACAAAATCTGACTAAATTTCTCAAGCAACTCAGCCCTTTGCGCTGGCATAAGTGGCCCAAGAGGAAACAAGATGCTGTACCTGTTGTGAGGTGCTGTCTGGTATGCCACAGCAAGTGCTTGCCGTAGGATATCACTCATAAGCTGTTCAGTGGCCTGTGCCAAAAGACATTAGGAGACAGCATTACAAAATGAGGAAAGCAACATGCTTCAGCATCAGTGCAAGAGCAGCTGAAATTCTGGGTCACCTCAATCCTGTATTCCACCAGCAGGGAAAGTTCCGGATGCCCAAGTGAGTTTTATTAACACAGTAATAACAACTGAGTATATTTAACAAAAAGAAATAGACCTATAGATGCACAGAGCTGACTGGAACTGTCCAGTCTGGTTTCTCTCCAGACCTGCAGAGCAGTATGTGCACAGCAGGGTGGATCTGATGTTTCAGAGCCTGCACTTCAAAGAGCAGTTTAGGGCCCATCGCCTCACAGACCAGAGCTTGTTTTGCACATAGCAAATCCAGGTATTCTCCTGGGAGCTGGTATATCCTTGTTAGCACACACCACTCCCTGTGGTCACCAGCTTATGTCAAGACACTTTCACAAACACCTCCCAGCCCGGACAAGCAGCAGATGGCAGCCGTATGCCCTACACACTTGGCTTAATCAAAGTTCACTCAAAAGCTAATTAAGGCTGTTGGCTTTCTGTGCCTGTATTAAGACTACAGCAGAGGTTTTTGGGACGTTCCCCCAGGAAAGCTGGCATAACTCTACAGTTATAATGGTGCAATCTGATAGTAACAATTTACTATCTGAGTTCATCTATGGTAAGTAACAGAGAGCCCAGCAGATGTGTG